AGGGATATACTGTGAGACATCAGGATCCCTGGGGGGTTTCCCCCCTTTCCTTTCTTTTTGGGGTGTTGATAAAAAAATAAACAAATGTTAAGATGTGACGCCCAGAAAGGCGCCATTGTCGCTAACCGTAGAGTTGTCTACGCTCAAGTATCAGGATTGAATCCTCTAACTCTTTACCAATTCGCACATTGCCGAAATGTGGAGTATTGTAAGACACATGTATATTTGTAAAGGAAAACGACGGGATTTCTTTTTTTAAAACAAAAAAGATCATTGTGTCCATCGCTGTACATATATCTCTATATTATATATATGGATCATTGTGCACCAGGTCATGGACAACGTGGAGTCGTTCTTCGGTGTGTGTCGCTGTGAGTGCATTTGTAATGCCAAAATCTTTGTAATAAAACTGAAATTAACAAAAATGATGTGGGGCATTTCTTAAGCTATCTCCTCGGGAGAGGGTTAGTAATTGTATTGTTGGGCTGCATTTGAGGTCGGCGGCCCCCATTGTGCCAGGAGCTACACAGACACCCACCAAGACTGGAGATCCTATTGCACCAGGCTCTGGACAGACCCCGACTGAGATCAGGGCCCTACTGGGCCAGATGCCCCACAAACTGAGCCCAGAGCTCCCATGGTGCTGCTCATTGCACAGATCCTGAGATCGGGGCCCGTATTGTGCCAGGTATCCCCATATCCTGTGAGCCTGAGCGAGGATTCCCTGGGTCTCTGCTACAGGGCATGGCATGGTGGTGACCAAGACCTCCTCGCCCTTCCCCCATCTTAGCAGCACTGCTGCCCCCTGCAGGGTGAAACTAGACCTGTTCTGCTGTGCATCAGCCCCCATGTCAGCAGCACCAAGGGCAGGGTGGCCTAGTGCCAGGTTAGTGAGTTAGAGCCCCCACCCTCAGCACATAGATTAGGTGGGGGATTGCTAACCTGTGGCTGTGGTGATACAGCTACCTCTGGAGTGGAGCACAAGTGCCGTTTATATCGGGATTCCCTCATCTGGCACTGAGATGTAGCTGCTCCTGGGATGGGGGTGGGGGCTGATTATACAGGGATCCCTCGCCCAGTGCTGAAATGCGGCTGCCTCTAGAGTGGGGTGTGGGAGCTGTTTCTATAGGAACCCCTCGCACAGCACCCAGATGCAGCTGCCTCTGGGGTGGAGTGCGGGAGCTGTATAACAAGCCAAGTGGATGTGGGGAAAACAGTAGACACGCTATATCTGACCATTAGTAAAGAGTTAGTCCCCACTGGCATTCTCATAAGCAAACTAGGGAAATAGGGTCTAGATGAGATTCCTATCAGGCAGGTGTATAACTGGTTGAAAGACCATACTCAAAGGGTAGTTCTTGATGGTTTCCCTGTCAGACTGCAAGGCAATATCAAGTAGGATCCCACCGGGTCTGTCTTGAGTTTGGTACTATTCAATATTGTAATTAACGACTTGGCTGCTGAAGTGGAGAGTATGCTTATAAAAGTTGCTGGGAGGGGCTGACCGCACTGCAAGGCCAAGATTAGAAGTCAGAATGATCTTGAGACGTTGGAGAATTGGTCTGAAATCAACAAGATGAAATCCAATAAAGGCAAGTCCAAAGTATCGCATGTAGGCAGGAAAAGCAAAGGTACAGATACAACATGGGACTCACCGGCTAAGCAGCGGCACTACTGAAAAGGATCAGGGGATGAGAATGGATCACAAATTAAATAAGAGCCAACGGTGTGATGCTGTTTAGAAAAAGGCAAATCTTTTTCTGAGATGTTGTCACCAGCTGACTGGCCCCTTTAAGAGGTAATGGGTCAGCTCCACCTGGGACTCAGACAACCCTCCTCCCCTCTGTAGACACCTGGCAGATAGGTTGTGTGGTTAAAATCAGTCCAGGCCTGTATTTATTATCAAGCGATTGTTTGGTAATGCTCCTCCTAGTGGAAATGGCCCCACAGCTCCTAGATGCTCGGTTATTGGTAGCCTCTAACTGGAAAAAGCAAATTAGCCCAATCACAGAGGAATGATTAAGAACATAAGAACGGCCATGCTGGGTCAGACCGATGATCCATCTAGCCCAGTAGTTCGCAACCAGGGGTATGTGTACCCCTGGGGGTACGCAGAGTTCTTCCGGGGGTACATAAATTCATCTAGCTATTTGCCTAGTTTTACAACAGGCTACAGAAAAAGTACTAGCAGTACAAATTAAACTTTCCTACAGATAGTGACTTGTTTATACTGCTCTATATACCAGCATTTCTCAAATTGGGGTCCACTGACCCCTGGGGGTCTGTGAGGGTACTCCAAGGGGTCTGCAGGCCTCGCTGATCAATTCCTCCCCCTTCCTCCCAGTGCCTCCTGCACACCAGGGAACAGCAGGAGGTGCTGGGAGGAAGGGGGAGGAGTGAGGATGGGGCACGCTGGGGAAAGGGGGCAGAAAGAGGCAGGGAAGAGGAGGGGCAGGGGTGGAGTGGGGGCAGGAAGAGGTGGGGCCTGGGGCTGAGCGGGGGGCCTTGGGGGTCCATGAAAATTTTTAAATCAAAATGTGGGGCCTCAGGTTGCTAAAGTTTGAGAACTGCTGCTATATACTATACACTGAAATGTAAGTACAATATTTATATTCCACTTGATTAATTTTATAATTGTATGGTAAAAATTAGAAAGTCAGCTGTTTTTCGGTCATAGTGTACTGTGACGCTTGTCCGATTTTGTAAGCAAGTAGTTTTAAAATGAGGTGACACTTGAGGGTACGCAAGACAAATCAGATTCCTGAAAGGGGTACAGTAGTCTGGAAAGGTTGAGATCTAGCCCACTATCCTGTCTTCTGACAGTGGTTGATGCCAGATGCTTCAGAGAGAATGACCAGAATAGGGCAATTATCAAGTGATCCATCCCCCATCCCAGCTTCTGGCAGTTGGAGGTTTAGGGACACCTGGCTGTGTCCCTGACCATCTTGGCTAATAGCCATTGATGGACCTGTCCTCCAGGAACTTATCTAAACAACATGGGAGGTTGAGGTTAGGGGGAAATTAACACACCAAATACGTACCAAGAGAACAGATAGATATTTGGTTACTTTTTATTCACTGCTCAGACAAAGTCACCCTCAGCATGCTGGTCCAAATGTTGTGACTCTTAACATTTGATAGACATGCCTGGTCAGTTAAATATGTGTCCATAGAGATTTCACTCCGTTTATCGCTAGAAGGGACATATTCCAGGTGTTGTAGCAAAGCACACTCGATAGTATGGTAACACGCTGTTAAATAGAAAGATCTGATGACTACAATCCCGAACACTATCTCTTAACAAAAGCTAACTGTTGTAATGATTGTTTGGTTTCTGATATTTACATGGCAAGGATTTGTAGGCTTGTTAAAACTTCCTACCTAAATACACAGATAGCTCAGTGGTTTGAGCATTGGCCTACTAAACCCAGGGTTGTGAGTTCAATCCTTGAGGAGGCCACTTAGGGTTCTGGGGCAAAATAAGTACTTGGTCCTGCTAATGAAGGCAGGGGGCTGGACTCGATGACCTTTCAAGGTCCCTTCCAGCTCTAGGAGATGGGATATCTCCATTAATTGCTAATTTAAAAAAAATCAGTGCAGGCCTGGAGATAAAAAGGAAGAGTCACTGGAGAGCCCAGGGGCTGTGTGTGGGCGCAGAAACAGACAGCTGGAAAGAGATGTCCCTAGGAGATACCTGCTTGCTTGTGACCTCTCCCAGCCCTGTGGGAAAGGACAGGATTAAAAGGGGCCATACAAAGAGGCTGATTGAAGGCTGCAGCTGGCCTGAATGATCAGTCAGATCCCAAGGAGGGCTGGGGGAGCCCAGAAACAAGGCTGGGACCTGAGTGGCACAAGACTAATTTGACATACTGTAAGAAATGAGACCCCTCACAAGGAAGGGAACCCCTGTTTAAAACACTCTATGGGAGAGTGGCTTCTGAGCAGAGGTGGGATGGGGGCAATAAAGGGCAGTGCCTCTCCAAGGCTGTGTTGTGCCCCATGGGTGTGTGTTCGAGGGTGTTGCCCCATCACTGATGTATTAACAGGAGTGTTGTATGTGGGACACTGGGCGAGCACTGGGGAGGTCTCAGCTGGAGAACTGTGTCCAGTTGTGGGCGCAGCACAGCAGGAAAGATATGGACAAATTGGAGAGAGTCCAGAGGAGAACAACAGAAACGATGACAGGTTTAGAAAACCCGACCTGTGAGGCAAGTTTTTTTTTAAATTGGGCCTGTTTAGTCTAAAGAAAAGATGCCGGACGGGGACTGTTCACCTAGGCTAAGGGCTGCTCTAGAGAGGATGGTGATCAATTGTTCTCCATGGCCACTGCGGATGGGACAAGTAATCCGCTTACTTAGTTTGCAGAAAGGGAGATTGAGGTTTGACATTTGGGGAAACTTGCTAACCCCAAGGCTAGTTAAGCCCTGGAACAGGTCCCCCAGGGAGGTTGTGGCATCCCCATCACTAGAGGTTTTGAAGACCTGGCTGAACAAACAGATATGAGGAAGAGTCAGGGTTCTCTGGAGCCTGCTGCAGCACAGGGGGCTGGACTACCTGACCTCTCATGGCCTCTTCCAGCCCTACATCAGCTTGTGCTGGGCGCTGCACAGAGCAACCCCCAGCAGAACCTGGGGCCCCATGGGCACAGCACAGAGACACAGTGGGAGACAGGCCTGACCCCAAAGAGCTCACAGTCTGCATAGACAAGGGGGGGGACTAAGGCACCGAGTGGGGAAGGAAATTGCCTGAGGTCACCAATCAGGGGGAGTGGTGGAGCCGGGCAGGGACCCAGTTTCCCAGAGTCCCAGCCGGAGCCTGGGCCACAGGGGGAGCAGTGTGTGACTGGGGAGGGGGCTTGCAGGGGAGTGGGATGTGACTGGAGAAGGAGGGGTCGCGGGGATAGGGGAGTTGTGATTGGAAAATGCAGCCTGGCCCCGCCCCAATTGCCATGTTTTGGCGGGAGCGGGAATTTCCAAGCGCAACAACAAGAGAAGGTGAGTGAGCCCCTGGCACTGCCCAGTCCCTGAGACGGTCTGTCCGCCTCCCGGGAACAGGGCCTCTCTGTGCACCACGGGCGGCGGCGGATTTGCCCCGAGCCCCGCCGCAATCCGGGCATGGGGGGCAGCGCCCCAGAGCAGGGACCCCCCTGCGATCCGGGCAGGGGATGGAGGCAGCACCCCAGAGCAGGGACCCCCCTGCGATCCGGGCACGGGGTGGGGGCAGCGCCCCAGAACAGGGACCCCCGCGATCCGGACACGGGGTGGGGGCAGCGCCCCAGAGCAGGGACCTCTCCCCTCCTCGCGATCCGAGGACCGTGTTGCTAAACCCGATTTCCTTCCAGTTCAGCTCCCTCCCGCTCTCCCCTAAGCGCAGGTGAGTCGGGACGGGCTGCGTCAGATTTACCGGGGGGGGGTGCTTTCGCGCGCAGCGTGACCCTTGGGGACGCGCCTTGGTGGGGCCGGGGCGATCCGCGGGGGAGCGGGACTAGCCGAGGCT